AGCTTTAAAAAGAATGTATCTAATTTGAGAGTTTGGTTACAAATTGATGTGATGTATCTGGGGTATATATGCCTATCATTTTTATACCCAGCAGATTCTTGTTTCCCAGAAAGGAAAATTTTTATACTGGATTAATTCATTTCATACTGGAATTTATTCCTATAAGTTTGTGGCAGAGTTTTGGGGTTATGTTTTACAATACTCTCCCTGCAGCAAGACTTCATCTTTTGGGGATGAAGTTTCTCTTTGGAAATGATAGTCAACAATGTAACTCCGGTTCCTGTAATAAAATGGGTAATCAAACATGGTGAGAACTATGTGGGCTAAGAACAAGACTTGGAAAAGACAAATAAGGCAATTAACAAGTAAGAGAAGGATATGAATAGACATTTCTTAAAGAATAGAAACAAATAGCCAATGAGTACATGAAAAGATGCCCAACAGCATAAGCCACCAGGGAAATGCAAATAAAAACCACTTCATGTCCACTAGGGTGGCAATAATAATGATGGTGATGGTGATGATGATGATAATGATAATAATAAAATGGACTATAGCAAGAGTTGGTAGGAATATGTAGACAGACAAACCCTTATATATTGCTAGTAGGAATGTAAAATTGTGTAGCATTTTCAGAAAGCAATCTAGCAGTTCTTCAAATTATTGAAAATAGAAATATGATATAACCTACCCTTTCTACTCCTCTACATGTATGTAACATGCAAAAATCTCTCGTGGCTAGTTATAGCAATATTATTTGCAGTAAAAAAAGTGAAAATATAAAAAAACCAAGCAGCTGACAAATGAATAAATAAATGTGATATAATTTAAATGGAATATAATTTAACAATAAAAAGATATATTGACACATGCTATAATGAGAATGAGCCTTAACATCATAATGAGAAGAATCAGTCAAAGGCAACATCATATAGTATATGATTCTGTTTATAGTGTTTTCCAGAATAGGCAAATAATCATAGAGATGGCTGTTGGTATATACTGTTGAGCTGGAACTAACTCACAGCTGCCCTTCTAGTGAGTTCTCAGAGGTAGTTAATTACATGGGAGGAGACTGCCTATCTTTCTTCTGTGGAGCAGTTGGTGGATTTGAACTGTGTCTTTCTGAGCTGGCAGCACAGTTCCTTGCCACTAAGTCACCAGTTTAGTACAATCATAAAAGTTGGTTGGTCGGCACTAAAGGGGGGACTGTTAAAGAAAATTGGGAGGGACTCTTAACAGTTACAGGTGTGTGCGATACTGTTTCCTACTAAATATCAATGAGTGTTACTTTAAATGGTGAGCTGCAGAGTATATGAATTACATCTCAATAAAGAAGCAATAGAAATTAAGACTTGGTTACAAATTGATGAGGTTAATTTAATTGTATAGCTCCTGGTACCAATAACTAATTTTATCTTCATTTACTGTCAAGCTACACTAAGTGATTTATGTATCTAAGGCCATTTGATCTTCACATTTTCTTTAAAAGAGCCCTATGAGGTGAGAAGAATCATTATCTCCAGTTCAGTAATCGAAAATTTAGAGCAAAGAGAGCTTAGGTAATTTCCCTGAAGTAACACAGCAAGTAAGTGTTGGAATTAAGTGTAAGACTTAATTCCGTCTGATGTTAAAAGTCACTCTTTCTCCTTTCTGTTTCTTTTCTGAAATTTTGTTTTACAAATAATGAATACTTCTTATAAACAGTAAGTGTATTTCAAGTATGATGTGACAAAATAGCATACATTCTGTCTCCATCCATCTTCTCCCTCTCCCCCCAGAAGGCGTGAATTAACTTTTTCAGTATTATTGATCATTTCCTTATGTAACTAAAATACATACATATAGATAGATAGATATTACTTATCACTTTGTCATATGCAAAACATAGCCTGCTATATATGCCATTTGGCATAATGCTTTTTCCCCCCACTTAAAATAACATCCCAGTGATCCTTCTATATTAATATTTTTCAATCTTTTTTATTAAATAGATGCAAAATAATACAACACCTGGATCTACCAAAAATTATTTTAGCTGGTCCTTTCAAGACTGGTTTTAGGTTCTTCTCAATCTTTTATTACTCAAATAATTAAAGCTTATGCTTTGAAACTTCCTCAAAAAGAAAATCAGGGAACTCATAATAAATATAATCATCTTTGAATCAGATCCCTGTCCTAAGAAACTGACGGCTTTGAAGGAGGTATCCTTTAATGAGTTGTGTTATTTGGTAAATATTTGTTAAAAACCCCACATCACCACCACCAAAAAAAGCTAATTGATTTATATCAGCCACTGTCACAGTGTGTAATGCGGAAGCTTATGAGAATGACATTCATTAAGAAAGAAGGAGGTAGAGAGATTTTTTTTAAAAAGTGACATTCTGAAATCTTTGTACTTATCCAGCATATTATCTCTGCTGATTGTGATTTGTAGGGATAGATCTACCACCACTCAATGTTAAATCATATTAACAACCCTTTGTTGAATTTTCATATAAAGTACATGGTCACTCAGGGAAAACGGAATTCCCCTCTCTATTCTATAAACCTTGGACCTCAAATATTTAAAAGCGCCTTTAGAATCTCTGTTATCAGACATAGAAACAACTTGTCAATTTTTATTTTATCTTGCTTTTGAAAGAAACCATTACTTCAATAACACTATGGATTTTCTAAAGGATGCCTCACATGAAATAAGTTTGAGCATTAACATGTAGGACAAGCAATAAAAAAGGTAATATGAGTACAGATAAAAATATCCAAGTGGGAGAGAACAGTGATCTCTTCCAAAGGGAATGGAATGAAAGGATTCAAAATGCACGGCGTTTCAAAGCTAAAGAAGGCGACAACTGAATTGAAAAGGCTGAACTTCACATTACCTTCTCAGAACACAAACATATATTTAGCTTAATAGACTTGAGTACTATCTCAGGAAAAAAATCTTATATATTATGCATCTAGGGCAATGAAAGCAGCAGAAAATGATTTTGCAAAGCAAACACTGCCGGCTGACAGTAGCAGAGGCTGAAGCACATATAATGACTGTAGGTCTCATTCTATATGTCATCGCAGGAGGAAAACAAAAGCTGAGGAAAGATCAGACATGAAACAGACCCTGCTGAGACTGAAGCTTAGATGAAATGTGCTTGCATCTATTTCTTGATTATAACCACAACATGGATTTACATTAAAAATCTGGAAACTATAGACAAATGTAAAGAAAAGAAACACACTTAGATTAGCACTTCCTAGAAAGAATTATTATTAAATTATTGGCATATTTACTTGTAGTGTTTTCCTAGATACGTCTAAAGTGATACATTTTTTACTGAAGTAGGATGATGAGTAAAAAAAAAAAAAATTATAGGCTTTCCTCCTTTTCCATCACCCCCTGAATATCTGCTCATGTTGTCATGCATGACTTACAAAGGTAATTTTAATGAATGTATTTTTATTGTATACTTTGAACTTATTCGAATTGCTTGATTTTTTTAGATATTGCTGGACCTCTAGGTTGTTTCTAGTATTTTAGTATTATAAGCAGCCTTGTATTGGGCCTTTCTCTCATAAATCTTTGAATTTCTATTTCTTGAAAGAAACATAAAAGTGTATCAGGATGCCAAGCTCAAATTTAAACCACTCGGTAAAACAGCACCTAGAAACTCCCAATCAAAGTCTTGGGAGTGAAAATACGAATGATGCATATCGAATAAACAAAACTCTTTTCATATCACTTGGAGTCTATATTTATCCTTCCAGAACAGCCATTTTTCAGGCAGTATATTACTTCCTCTAGGCAAATGGACTATTACTGGGTTAATCTAAATGCAATAACACGAAACTTGGCTGACCCAGATTTCTGCAATATCAGTATTCATGCAATTACAATATTCTTCAGATTGGAAAAAAATACCCAAGGCTCTAAAAACCACATATTTTATTATCCCTTCATTTCTAACGATGCACAATGGGCATTAAAAGAAAATGAAAGGTCATAACCAATGGTTTAGTTGCTATCACCTAAATTTTACATACATATACAAGTTGCACATGTGTGTAATTTAAGGATTTCTTTAATTCCCAGTTTTAATCTTATCATTTCCACACTTAAATTACAAGTAACTTACATGGTCTCATCATATTAAAGTTACAAAAAATGTCTCTTAGGAAGTAGATAGTGTTGATCTCCTAAATTTAAATATCTTATGTTGTTGTTGTATACACTGAGTCAGAACTGAACCACCGTTGACCCTCCAGTGGGTTTCCGAGGCAGTGAATTGAACTGGAGATTATCCATCCTTCTCTCTCAGAGCAGCTGGTGAACTCAAACCACGCACCTTTAGAGATTGCAGCGCAGCTTCTTACCACTAGGCCACCAGAGCTCCCAACAGACTATACACTTCTTAAAGTCTATTAAAATGTTTTCTTTTTAAGAGGCCAAATTTCTCACTGTCTCAATGAAGTATTTTTTTTTCTTTCCCACTAGTCAACAGGATGGCACAACCGACAACAAAAAGGTAGTGCAAAGCAAAACAGAACCTCCCTCAAATATTGGTCACAAGAATCATGAAATCATAGGAATTCCAAGAGCCACTTAGACTTGATGGCCAAAAAGAAGCATCCTACTGACCACTTATTCAGTCTGCATAAGACAAAACTCTCAGGGCTGCAAGTGGATCCTGGTCTGTATAAAGAACACTCTTTGGGGTTATGCCGTGTAGAACCCACTTCTCTTTGCCCAGGCATTACTTATTTGTGCATTCTTCTCTCTATTTACGAACTAGAGAAGTTATGGGGGTGGGGAATAGTCTTTAAAATCATATGCATGTTTTTAGGGAGCTCTGGTGGCCTAGTGGTAAGACGCTGCACTGCAACCCCAGAGGTATGTGGTTCGAATCCACCAGATGCTCTGCTGGAGAAGGAGGGACAATCGCCTCCTGTACCAGTCAGATCCAATTTGATGGTACACACACACAAAATAAAAAAATTAAAAAAAATCATATGCATGTTTTCATCTCTTCTTTCACACCAAGGAAAAGAATGCAAAGAAATGAGACCAAATTCACCCTGGCGAGGCTTTGTCACATCAGTAAGGCTTGCTCTGTTCCCATCTCCCCTTCCATCCCCCCTCCAGCAAGCAGCACGCTACCTTGTGTGAGTAACTGTAGGTTTCGGACTTCTTCTCGCACCTTCAGCTGGAGCACCTGTTGTAGAATGTGCTGCCGGAGGTTCTCCTGGGCAATTCCCATCCGCTCCAGCTTCTTGTCAGTGAGTCTCAGTAGGGCCCGCCCTGGGGGGGTTTAAGGAAATAGAAGGAAAAGCAAATCAGCAATGATTGCAGAAGGATTTCCAACCTGGGTTAGGCTAAGCGGGCCGTGGCAGAAGTTTCCACTCAACAGACAATGTGGCTTAAAGGGCTCAACCATTATACTAGTTCACAGGAACGGACAACCTGGGCAAAGACCATTTCAAAGAGAATCACACTTCCAATCCAACACTGGAAAGCTCTGATTCACATTGCGACAGACAAAATAGTAAAAATTTTAACCTGGATATTTGGGTCACAGATTGCATGTTTCCATGGAAACGGTGCTCCGGTGGAGAGCTGGGTTCCCAGGTTGGCCCACCTGAGCTCATGGTAATGACAGCGTTGCTGAAGAACGAGGCGATCCCACTGTGTTTGAACAGAAACTCCGGCAACATTTACCCCCATTTATAATTTGTGACCAGTAATATAAGGACATTTCTGTGAGAAGCGCATTTACATTCTAGTTTTAACCTACAGAAGTCTAACTCCTCTTTTGCATCCCTGGCTACTAGCCAAAGCTTCCTTATCTAGCTGGTGGGAGTTAGGACTGTCATTGATTGTCACTGGTTGTCACTGACTGAACCATATTCCCTCAAAATTATGCTTCATTTTGGCTAGGCCACAGTTCTCAGTGGCCTGGCAGCTTTGTGAATGGTGCACCTGATGTGATCGGATGTGATCAGCCAATTCGTTATAAGTGGCTTCGGGTAGGAAGCAATTTGCGGACTCAGATCACAGCCCTGACTGATGTAAAGAAGGTTCCCATGAGTTATGGTCTGAATCACCTTGTATCAGACAAAAAAATACAAAGGAAAAAAATCACATACACAGAGAAGGGCCTGACTACCAGGAAGGAAGAAGGTTGAACATGAAAGGCATCCTTTGGACCTGGGGTTCCTACACTAAGAACCTCCTAGGCCCAAGGAAGCCTTCACTTTGGCCACTGTGCCAGCCATCTCACTGACAGTCTCCCTTGCCATGGCTGACTCTCTACTGCACCAAAAATGATGTCTTTCGTATAAAAAATTGTGTCCCCCCCTCCAGCCACGGATCTCTCCTAAAGATGTGTCCAAAGCATTCAAGCAGAACAATGTTCTGTCTTGATACGTAAGATTCCCATCAGGTTAATTCTGGATATAGGTTTCTAGGCCTTTTGTCCTAGTCTGCCTTAACCTGGAAGTTATGTCTGTTCATCATAGCAACTTCCGGTGGGTATTTGAAATTCCAGGAACACAGCATCAAGTCTTACAGCAACAGGCAGTCACCACACGGCAACAAATTAAGGAGCACCTGACCTGGCCGTGTTCTGGCCGACGGCCTCATATACACACAAAAGCTATGTATGCAACATAGCAGCAGAGCTGAAGCACTGAAATGACAGCATTGGTAACTTATTAAATTTACTATGGGCTTTCAGAAGCATGGAAGAAATACAACCAGAATGTTCCTTACACATCCAGATGGTGAGACTAATTTATTTTAGAGACATCAACAGGAGAACCAATCTCTGAAAAAGGACGTGACTAATCAAGGAGATGGTCAACAAAAACAAGGAAAACTCACTGAGATGGGCAGACACAATGACCAACACAATGGTGTCAACACATCAAAGATCAGGAAGATGGTACAGGACATTCACTGTGATACGATATCTGTGTCTCTAGATATATCTTTAGCTATAGATATATATCTACCTCTATAGATATATCTATCTTTATCTCTCTATCTCTATCATCTTTATATTGATATATAGAGATGATACAGATATATACAT